TTTGATATACTATTGTTGTTGCTCTTTTCCTTTTAATACTTGCTCTCCCAATGTTTGTTTTCGTGTGCAAACGAAAACACATACGAATTCTTCTAGAATAACAGCTGTACGTACATAGATCAACTACCAAGACAGAATTCCTACTTGCATTATTCCATGTGCCAACAAAAGAGGCAGAAACATTCCCCACCAACTGGCAATATGTACCAGTTTAACTATTAATATTTATTATTGGGGTTGGCATATTGATGTCTTTTCCCCTGGATTTACGTACAGCCCTCCAGGTTCAGGTGGAATAATTTTTAATATTTCATGTTTCATCTTTGTATCAATGTGATTTGATTTCGATACGGTGTCCCATTTCACTGCTCTGATTGTGGATGCGCTCTAAAATCTTAACCCTCTTCCCCCCTACCACACACACACACACACACACACACGCGCACGCATATTATGGTCGCTCGAGTGGAAAAGGGTTTGTAGTGTATCGTTTATTGGCACACACACACACACACACACACACACACACACACACACACACACACACACACACACACACACACACACACGCACACACACACATACATACCAACATACACATACACACACGCGCGCGCACACACACATACACACAAACAAACATACACACACACTTTATGCGAACTTAATTTCATTATCAACTCGAATGGACCAGCACACCGTCATGTAACATGGTGTTGTGGAAGAATTATCACGGCTGCTAAGCACCGTTTTTTGCCTATTATCCCCATCCAAGCTTACTAACTTCTCTTAAAGACAGACAATGACAGATCGAATAGCTGCTCTATAGAACAAAAAAAAAAACTTTCAAGAAAAACAGTCACAAGCATATGTACGAGATGACTGAAACAAAGTCAGTGCTGAATTGAGAGGTTAGTTCTCACAACAGCTCACTTTTTCATATGTCTAGAACATTTAAAAAACAATCAGAAGCATGATAGATGGGCCTCAGGTGACATAAAGGTTAGAAACCCCTGAAACTTAGATTCCCGAATATTAGTTCAAAATGAACTACATACCTGACAGAGGCAATGTCTGGAAACCTTAGCCAAAAGTTGGAACTATCTGACTGAATGCCGATAAATAACGGTGCGTTCTACCAGACCGTTTATTGTTGACCTTTGGGAAAGCAATATTGTTGACAGATCGATCTCTAACCAAGAGACATATTATGATTTCATCAAGCTCACAAGAGTTTCCTTTTTATACTCATCTTAAGGCCAAAATGTAGTCCAACCATAACATATTCATGACAGGAGACGCGGTAACAATATTACCCTAATAAAATTGCTTTGCGTCCATAGTCTGAGCTCTCGAAAGGCGCGCTTTTTCGTATGACGCTTTCTCTGGTTTCTCAAATAGAAAAATTAACCAGCTGAGTGTGCATGATTTTTCGTTTTGTCTTGTTGATAATTCTGGCGGGTCAGAGCGTCTACATAATGGAATTATTTGGGAACGCCGGTGTAGAACAGTTCAGCTACAGGCGTTGGCCGGATAGATTTAAAATAACGTCCGTAAAAACACTAATGAGCTGTGTGCACGAAGCTTGATAGCGTTTCATTTGCCACCTAAATACTCCCCCCCCCACCCGCCTCTATTTTGGTCACTCTCATAAGCAGTAACAATCAGACTGGTCGAGTCTAACTCGAGAAGGTAAGGGGGATAATTAAGCTCAAGAATGTTTGAGTGAGAGATTTTTTCCCGTCTTTTTACCGACCTGTAATCAGGTCATAGCATTGTTTTTGGCATCAACTCTTGGTCGCCAGAAGCTATATCAAGAAAGTCAAATTTGAAACCAAACTGATAACATCTCTGTCACATCTGCCTCCTGGCCTTCTGTTTGTTTATTAAACCTTGTAGTTAAATTTTCTATGAAAAACCTCCCCACGAATACCATTTTGCATACTTCAGGTTTAAAAGTTATAATTGCTTTCTGCCTTGGGTAGGAACAAACATAAAATGAGACATTCTTTTCCCAATTTTTGTTGGCGGATTTACATTATGTTCAGTGATGCTGCCTCGTATAAGTGTTGTTAGTTATGTGCCAATTGTAAATAAAAGTTTTCACGTATGGGCTCATCTATATCTGTTTCTTAGTCTCAATTTAATTACCCTGTCTAACAAGTCAGCCTTCGCTCTTTGCGATATCAATGTTAATACCAAATAACGGTAAGAAGACAATAGGCAAACCATGGAGTCTCCTAAATGGTCACGGATGTAACAAAATATTATGTTGAGCGTGTGAAGCGAAAGCAGTTTCGACGTAACCTCACTAGACTGAAGACCCTTTAAAACGCGTTCGTGCGAGTATCTGATTATATTATCCTAGACTCTGTACAAGTATTTTCATGAGCAGAGCACTTTAGAAAACAGAGAGATAGTATGAACATTTTCCACAATGGACGAGAAAACCCCCACTCGGATTCAAAAACCGAATTCTGAACGGCAAATATAATCTGGAACCAACCTAGCTGCATCATGTAGGCTTTCTGTGACCCCAGAGCAAAAGTGCACCGACACAAATGTGGGTAAATAGAACTGTACTAGGCTAGGCCTCAAATTAACCCGCAAAAAGTTTAAGGAAATTGCTTAGTAATTCCTGACATTTTCTTAAAATATTGCGATTTTACCCTTTACTGAAGAAGGCCGAGTTTAGCAGAAACAGGCAATTTTCACTGTCTGTGTCTCGGATCGCAAAATGTTTATCGTGACATTTTTGGACTCAAACTCTAAAGACTCCCCCGGTATTCAGCTATTATTTTAGGCTGTTTAAATTTATTGACCATGAAGTGTGACAATTATATTTTCAATTTGTCAGGCTAAGCAACAAAATCAATTTAGTTTTTAATATCATTCTAAGCCTATCAGATGTTAACCAAAATACCAACATTCAGTGCTTGCCACTGGGCTAACAGCTAACGTAGAGAACATTTCCAGTCAACAGCAATAAAGGAGTGTGACCTTGAGGTAGGTTTGTTCCTACATCATGAAAGGCTGACATTAAAATGACGTACGACAGGCATGGATGCGGCGTAAGGTTCCACTGTATCATTCTGGACTGTAGAGTGGGCAACACTTTTCCAAGTCAAAATATCCTGCATGAGACTAGATCTATCTCGAACTCGGAGTATTTCGGGCGTCTTTGTGGTTCTCGACACACCAGGCTTTCCTCTTCAGGGGATAGGCGTTAGTCTAAAAAACCGTGTCAAAAGTAATGTTGCTCTGCAGATGTATTAATCACAAACCACGCCAACCATAGCGACTGGAACGTCAAACAATTGTGCAATTGCCACACAGATACCCCTCTCATCAAGAAAAACAAACAAACCTGACATCAAATTAAATTATCATTGTTTTACTTCCCCATATACAATTCGAATTATTCAGAAAACCAGCCTGGAGTGAACGAAACACAGTTCCCTCGTAGACAGACTAAGACATTGGAATAAAATATTTCTGTGTGCAGAGAGAGAGAGAGAGAGAGAGAGAGAGAGAGAGAGAGAGAGAGAGAGAGAGAGAGAGAGAGAGAGAGA